GGGGTGATTATAGGGATGATGGAGGTGATGGGGATGATGAACTTGCAATATGTTGAACACTTACTGTGAACCAGGCCCTGTTTTAGGTACTTTACATGGATTAACTGATTTAATAATTTCAACAGCCCTATTGAGACATATAGTATTATCCCCACTTTACAGATGGGAAATTGGGGCATAGAAATTAAGTTCTTTGTTCAAGGTCACACAGGTGGTAAGAGGTGGACCATTGTAACCCAGGTCTAACTCCAAGATGCACTTGCAGTTGGTTGTAAAATTGTGTGTGTGCATGTTAGGGGGGGATACATATTTCTGCGGAGAGAACCTTGGCTTCCTGCAGGCCTGTGTGGGTGTGTCTGAGGAAGGCAGTGCCCCCTAATGGGATTAGTCACTGTCCTTGGTGCTGCCCACCCAGAGGCTGTTCCTCGGCCGCAGCTGCCTGGTTTCCTCAATTGGTGGGCACTGCCTGTGGGTGGGGGTCCCTGGGAGAGCCCATACTGGGGGTGCAGGCAACTCTTCTGTGGCCTACCCCTCACACTTAAGTTTTCCTCTCCCAGGCCTGGGGGCGGATCCCCAGGCACAGCCCAGAAAGCACAACCAGTCTCATTCCCCAGGCCCCCGCCTGTGCAAAGGGCTCTCCTGGACCCTGCTTATGGCTGGGTGTAGACGACCCCCTTTTTTCTTCTCCCTCAAGACCCAGGCAGGAGGGAGAGCCCTCTTCCTCAAGGTCCAGAACTCGGCTGGTAGGGGACTGGGGAAGTGGTGGTCTGGTGTGTTCTGCCTGCTTTTAGTACATTCCCCTGGGGGTTCTGGGGCTTCTCTTTCTAATGAGGGGGATTGGTTGCAGCTTTGGCGTTTTGGCTGCAATCCCAAGAGCAGGTAAAGTCCTGCTCAACATCCTGTTAACAATTTATTCATTATTTCAGTCCCCTCTCACCCACCACCATTCGTTAAACATAGATTTGCGTGTCTCCTGGGCTGGTGTCTGAAACAATGAAAAGGCCTTTGACACCAAATAACCAGTGTGGTCACCCATCCTCCTCCGTCACAAGCCCGTGTCCCAGGAGATGCCTCTGCAGGCTTGAAGGCAGGGTGGGACAGTGGGGAGAGAACATCAGATATGGGTTTGAGAATGACTTCTCCACTGACCCACTGTGGGAACCTGGGCACCTTCCGTTCCCTCGCCAAACCTCTGTCTTCTAGTCCAGGACCTGCCAGCATAGGACTAAGTTGGGGTTTTCAAATGGTGTTCCATGGAACCCCCAGGGTTCCAAGGAGGTACACTGGGCGCCTGCCAACAGGGTAGTATGTTGGGTTAACAGCCAGGGGTGTCAGTCACCCCACAGAACAGTGCATGACCCAGGGAGGGATTTAAGTGGCAGCCTTGGGCACAGAAGAGACAATGGCAAAACCCACCCCTCCCCCAGCCCCACCGACTCTCACAGCGTGTGGTGGCGGGAGAGTGGTAGTGAGACACCCTGTCTGGGCCAGCACGCCAGGACCCAAGTCCTGTACCATCTCACCGCTGGGAGCCTCAGTGTCCTCATTTGTAAAAGGGAAATAATGCTAGTCCCTCTTTCACGGGGTTCTTTTAACAGCTGAGCCCATCCCAGCAATGTACGTACTTGGGGCCTGGCAGAGCAGTAGGTGTACAGGAAACGCTGGTGGCTGTTTTTATTTTCCAACTTCTGGTCCTCAATTTTCTCATCTACAAAACATGTAGAAGGAGACTTGTCTGGCCAACTGTGCTGCAGGGGTAAAGGTCGTCCCAGGGCAGCGGGTGGGGAGGTGATGTGGGGATGGCAATTGCATTAGTGTGTCGGGCTGTGTAACTGAGGATCAAACCCAGTGGCGTAAAACAACAGAAATTCACTCCCTCACGGTTCTGGAGGCCAGAAGCCTGGAGAGGCCACTGCAAGATTGGTTCCTTTTGGGAGGCTCTGAGGGAAAACTGTTCCAGGTCACTCTTCTAGCTGCTGCTTTATTTTGAGACAGGGTCTTGCTGTGTTGCCCAGGCTGGAGTGCAGTGGCACAATCTTAGCTCACTGCAGTCTTGACCTCCTGGGCTCAAGCCGTCCTCTCCCACCCCATCCTCTTGAGTAGCTGGGATTCCAGGTGTGCACCACCATGACCGACTAACTTTTTAAAAATAGTTTTTATAGAGACAGTGTCTTACTGTGTTGCCCAGGCTGGTCTTGCACTCGAGGGCTCAAGCAGTCCTCCTGCCTCAGCCTCCCAAAGCACTGGGTTTACAGGCGTAAGCCACCATGCTTGGCCACACTCTCGTGGTTTCTGATGGTTGCTGGTGATCCTGGTCATTCTTTGGCTTGTGGAAGTGTCACTTCAGTCTCTACCTCCATTGTCACCTGGTGTTCTTCCCTCTGCCGGTGTCTCTATGTTACCACATGGCCCTCTTTTAAGGGCCTCTTTTTAAGCCCTCACTCCCTCAGAAACCCGGGGTCCCCGCTCCCTCATCCCCACCCAGCCCAACATCCCCACAGCCTGTGAACCACCTCCCATCTCTCCTCTCTGCCCCCATCCCACCACCCAATCCACACTGAGGTCATCCCTCATCTGCATACCGCCTCCCCCACCCCCACTGTCCCATCATTGGATGTAAGACCTACACGAATCCAGTATGACTCCATCTTAGCTTGATTTCATCTACAAAGAACCTCTTTCTAAATAAGGTCATATTCACAGGTCCTGGGGGTTGGCAGCATGTCTTTTTGGGGAACACAATTTGATTCACAGCAGTGGTGGTGGTGGTGGTGGTGATGGTGATGGTGGCTGTCTTAGACCATTTGGGCTGCTACAAGAAAATGTCACACTTCTAAACAACAGAAGTGTGTTTCTCATAGTCTGGAGGCTAGAATTCCAAGATCAAGGTGCTGGCAGACTCCATATCTGGTGAGGACCCACTTCCTGGTTCATAGATGGCACCTCCTTGCTGTTTCCTTACATAGTGGAAGGAGCAAGGGATCTCTCATGCCTCTCCTTATAAGGGCACTGATCCCATTTGAGAGGGCTCCATTCTCATGACCTCATCACCTCCCAGAGGCCCCACCTCCTAGTACTAGCACCTTGGGGATTAGATTTCAAAATATTAATTTTGGGGGGATGCACACATTTAGATCATAGCAATGGTTGAGATAGTGGTGGTGATGGAGGTGGTAGGAGGTGGTGGTGGTGGTGACGGAGGTGCTGGTGGTGGTAGTGGAAGCACTGGTGATGATGGAGGTAGTGGTGATGGTGATGGTGATGATGGTGGCGGTGACAGGTGTGATGGAGGTGGTGGTGATAGAAGTGGTGATGCAAGTGGAGGTGGTGGTGGTGGTGGTGGTGGTGGTGATGGAGGTAGTGATGGAGGTGGTGGTGGTGGTAGTGGTGGTGGTGATGGAGGTGGTGATAGAGCTGGTGGTGGTAGTGATGGAGTTGGTGGTGGTGGAGGAGGTGGTACTAGTAATGGAGGTGGTGATGGAGGTGGTGATGGTGGAGGTGGTGGTAGTGGAGGTGGTGGTAGTGGAGGTGGTAGAGGTGGTGGTGGTGGTGAGGTAGTGGTGGTGGAGGTGGTGGTGGTAGAGGTAGTGGTGGTGGCAGTGGAAGTGCTGGTGATGGTGGAAGTGGTGGTGGTGGTGATGGAGATGGTGGTGGTGGAGGCAGTGGTGGTGGAGGTGGTGGTAGTGGAAGTGGTGGTAGTGGAGGTGGTGGTGGAAGTGCTGGTGATGGTAGAGGTAGTGGTGATGGAGGTGATGGTGGTAGAGGTAGTGGTGGTGATGGAGGTAGTGGTGGAGGTGGTGATGCTGGCTACTTCATCGACATAAAGGGCCTATTCTTGTGGAATCATCTATGGGTGAAACCTGAGGAATGATTCTGATGCTTTTGTTGCAAATGACTGAAAACCCAGTTCAAATGGCTTTGTGTTGGCCCATATAATTGGGAAGTGCTGAGGTAGGGTGGCTGTCTGGTCCAGTTTGATCCAGCTGTTTCTTGGGTAGCTTAGCAGCTGCTGACAGCTCCCAAGGCTAGAAGCTCACTGTTTATACACAGGGATGACAGTATCCACTTTTCTTCTCCTTGAAAGAATCTGAGACTCCCTGTAACTGGAAGAATCTAGGTGATGTGTTCACCATTGAACTGACTAGGAGGAATATCTGGCACTGATGGGTCCAGGTCTTGGCTGCGGAGCAGGCTACCAGGCTGGTATTGCATTTAATGGCCTAGGTCCACCTGGCCCCACCCTCCCAGCTGGGAGTGGGTCAACTCTACCTGGACTCCCTGGCCAGAGCTTCCAGTATAAGCAAGAATGAGCAGCCCACACCTGGAATCTGCTCTTTTTTGATTGGGGGTCCACACACTCTGCCTGGGGGAGGGAGATTGGAGGGGCATCTTCCTGGGGGTGGGGGTGGGGGTAGTGGAGAATGTAGAATGTTCCCTGTGGGTTTTCTTGGGAAGGCTTGGAGCAGGAAAGGTTTTAGGAAGAAGCTGATACACACACACACACACACACACACGCGCGCACATACATATACATATATATACACACACACATACACCCATATATGCATTTAAAAATAATTTTTTAGAGACAGCGTCTTACTGTGTTGCCCAGGCTGGTCTTGCATGTATATGTATATATATGTATGTATGTGTATATGTGTGTGTGTGTGTGCCTGTGTGTGTGTGTGTGTGTGTGTGTGTGTGTGTGTATGTATGTATTTAGCTTTCTTTTTTTTTGGTTATGTAAATAATACTTATGGAAAAACAGAAACCACAGGTAAGCAGAAGGAGACAGGAAAGAGAATTGCCCGGGGATCCACAGTCCGCCAGTGGGTCAGAGTCCTGGTGAGTCCCTGCCTTCCCTGGGTGGAGACCTTCCCTGACTTTCCAGGTAGCAAGTTGGTCCTGAAGACCACCTGGCCTGCGGGGAGTTCTGCCTTCTGTGTGACCGCCCCGTACCTTCACCCGCCCTCCCTCAACCACCTGCACTTCTTCTGCAGGCAGCCCTGGTTCTATGGCTGGGGCTTCAACCTCCCGCGAGGCCAAGCCCTGCTGGAGAAATGGAACCTCATTCCCGAAGGCGTAGACATCCTGATAACCCATGGACCGCCACTAGGTAAGGCTCTGCTGGCCTGGCCCTCCAGCTCGCCCACCTGGGCTGGTGGGTGGGCTCTGGGATGGGGGGCTGGCTGGGCCAGCCCTGGAGGGGCTCTGAGTCCCACTTGCTGGGGCACTGAGGACACGTCACCCCATAGTCCCTCTTATTTCCTGAGTGCCCACTGAGAGCTGGAGGCTTGACTTGTTACCTTGTGGGCTCCTCACAACAGCACGGGAGGCCAGAGTCACCCGTCCATTTGACATGCAGGACTCTGGAGCTTTGGCTCATGCCCCTGCAGACCCCAGTCCTGGGTGCTGAAAATCACCAGAGCCCTGCACAGGGCTTCGTCCGGGCAGCCCTCACTCCCTCAGAAACCTGGGGTCCCCGCTCCCTCACCCAGCCCAACGTCCCCATGGCCTGGAAACCACCTCCCATCTCTCCTTTCTGCCCCCACCCCATGACCCAATCCACTCTGAGGTCATTCCTCATCCGCATATCACCTCCCCCACCCCCACTGTCCCATTTGGGGACTTTCTCAGTTCCCTTCCCTTCCTCATTCCCACAGCCTGGCCATCACCACATGCCTCCCATTCTGCCTCCAAACTGCCTCCCACTCCCCCTTCTCTCCATACTGCTGACCCCGCCTCAGTTCAGGACAATGTCTTCTCTCTCTCTCCCATGGTCATGGTGGAGGTGGTGGTGATGGAGGTAGTGGTGATGGAGGTGGTGATGGTGGAGATGGTGGCGGTGGAGGTGGTGATGGTGGTAGAGGTGATGAAGGTGATGGTGGTGATGGAGGTGATGGTGGGAAGTGGAGGTGGTGGTGGTGATGGGAGGTAGTGATGGTGATGGAGGTGGTGGCAGTGGGGATGGGTGGTGGTGGTGGTGGTGATGGAGGTGGTGGTGATGGTGGGTGGTTGGGGTGATGGGGAGGTGGCGGTGGTGGTGGTGGTGGGAAGTAGTGATGGTGATGGAGGTGGTGGCAGTGGGGATGGGGTGGTGGTGGTGATGGAGGTGTGGTGATGGTGGGAGGTGGAGGTGGTGGTGGTGGGAGGTGATGATGGTGATGGTGGTAGTGGTGGTGATGGGGGTGGTGATGGTTGTGGAGGTGGTGGTGATGGAGGTGGTGATGGAGGTGGTGGTGGTGGTGATGGAGGTGGTGGTGGTGGTGATGGAGGTGGTGATGAGGTGGTGATGGAGGT